CGTCAACACACTAGTCAACGTCCATATCCATAGTCCATACCTACTGTAACTTTACTAAAAGTTGTTTGGAAAATTCAAACTTATATAATCTACAGTCTACACAGTCGATTATAAGATAATATTAAGATAATATATTTGATAATTTGTACTGCAGTCTGTGACGATATATGTAAACACGTGTTATGTGTTGAATGTGTCGTTGTGCGCAAACGATTCGTCGATTTTCAGGTAAAGAATTTTGTATGTGCGCAAACGAGTTTCTGCGCTGACTTACAGCATGTTTCCATGAAATAAATTAATGTTAAACGTTATTTCAGTAAATGTGAAAACATATTTGGGCCATCGTACCAATATGACACCAAAGCGTATGAAATAAAATATTGTTGTCAATTTGTTGCAAACATATTCTTAAATAGTTCAGTTAAATAAATAAAATATTACCTACCTAAGTTATAGCATATTTACTTAAGTATATTTTATATAAAAGTACATTTTTTGTATATTTTATTATGGTTTTTAATGAATATTGGAAGAATATTTTCAATTTTTTAAGAGAATATTAATATTTTATCTTGGCCATTTTTAGAGAATATTATACCGGCCTCATTTATAAAATATCTTCGTTCATATATTATAGTTTTTCCAATAGACATCCAATGTTATAAAATCATACAATTAGAGATCAACTGGTAAATGATTCGATAGAACTAACAATATTACGATTGTCGGTTTGACATTGAGCGTAAACCCTTCGTGGTTCTCTATTATTATTATGCTGTTGTAATATTATTATAAAAACAGATCTGCCAGAACCATTGGTACAATCATCACGACTACCGATGATCCGCCACTTCATATAATATTAGAAAACTGCAGTACGACCATCGAATTCCATTCTTATTATTATGGTCAATAGTTATCAGACATAGACGAGGAACATCGAGCAGCTCGTGGCGCTCGGCCTATAGTAAAATAACGTTATAGATCCGTGGTTAAACCAGACGAAACAAATATTTAGTATATCTCTACACACATAATATACACGTGTATAAGTGCCCGAGCTTTAAACGTGGTGTACGGTAAACTGAGCTTGACTTAGAATCATTTTCCGTATCCAATGATTTACCATTGTTTTTAAAACGTTTACTATATTAATACAACCATCCATCTTAGTGACTTGCACAAGATTTTAAGTACGTCCCATTCCCTGTACATTACACGCACACACACACACGCACACACACGCGCGCGCGCGCGCGCACACACACACACACACTTCACTATAATGGTTAATACTCTTCAAGGAATTTAGTAGTAAAGGACGACAAACATTCGGTCATTATATCTTGCGTCTACCAGTAGGATATTTTGAGGGATTCTGGCACTACCGCCACCGCATTTGCCACCGGCCCCACTCCACCACCTCCTATTCTACACCACTGAGAGACCCCCGCTCAGCGACCATGTCAACGACCAACGCTGCTGTCCCCCCCTTCCCCACCACTATCTACCGTACCTACGCACCGGTCGTGATTATCAGTTTTTGATAATAACCGATATCAGTAGCAATAATTCTAAACGTGATTACAAGTACCCGCTAATTTTTCTAATATTATCATATTGATGATAACGCATCTGAAAAAATAACGAATATTATTGATAATATAATAATAATATTTTAAATAAATGCAATATCTGGGTAAGAATCGGACTGGAGACGTATAGGACATAACAACATAGCAAATATTCCACTTACACTCTTACATCTATTCGTATTATGTATTTAAATTAACATATTATAATATTTGAGTAGGTGCATAGGTTTCTCTGTTTAATGTTAAATCATCATTGTGTTATATCAAACGACATGTAATTGCTCAAACCTCTTATGACGATTTCCCATACTCAAAATTTCCGTTAAAAAATATAATTATTATTAAAAACACTACGCCGTTTCCCTCACTATTTTAACCGAATCTGGAGACTTCTTATTTTTTCTGTGTACCAAAATTGTACGAAATTCTTTTTTAAACTCAGAGTATGCAGTATTTATTTGCGATCAGTTCACATCGTTGTTTTAATCCATGCACAGGAAATAAATATCCACCATGTGTTATAAGTATTTTCTCTGTTTTAAATGTTACACCTGAATATTATTAGTAATAAATATTGAACAGCTTAAAAATATGGGTAGAACACGATTGCGGATGTTTGGAGATAGGTAACAAAAATGTGGTTAAATAAATAAACATGGTTGCGTATGAAATTGTATGCTACGTTGTCAAATTTACTAATTTCACCATATTATATCTAAAAATATATAAATATAGAATACATATACTAATATATAATAATAATACTATATAATAGTTCTGTAATAGTTCATAAAAAAAATTAATAGTAAAATAATAAATAAAATGAGAGTAACTAAATAAAAGAAAAATAATTCATAAATAAATCGACAGTTTTTATTTGAATGAAATTATTGTTACCTAATAAAATGCTTAAATTTGGATTTCTTCACATCTATAACCAACTACTTTTACTGAAACTCAGAAAATACCGTATAATATAACGGAAATAACGAAATTTCATTATATCTGATATATTTCATATCATTAACAATAAACATAGGTAATATAAGCAATAAAACACAAGGTATTAGCTAAATTTTTAAGTTTGTATAGTTTGTATGTGGTATACTCTAATACCGGTGTGAAAATTGGCATCAACGTTTAAAACTTCGTACTTAAAAATCGTGTAGTTAAAAATCAGGTAAAATCGTACGGAATCGTGTAGCTTAAAAAGGTATCGCCAATAACGAATCTACGCTCAATCGTGTTTTACCCGAAAGTATATTTGGAGATATGGTAAGTTGCAATACAAACAATTGTTAAAATATAATTAATTATGTTTTCCATTTTTTTTTTTTTTTTTTTTTTAATATAGACGCAATACTATGATAACAGTGGATACGATTCAATTTCTTCGCCAACTGTGATTCTATTGAAGTGTAGCCATTACTTACCACCACTATCCACAACTAGATTATCTCTCAGACACGTTGACACCACCACAACAAGAATTTTCTTTTGGCATGTTCACTCCAGCACAACGCAATAATAATAACAATAATAAAACATTCGACTATGGTAAGAAAATTTCACAAAGTACATAACCCCTATTGATCACATACGATATTATTAAGGAAAACTAATGAAGCAAAATTCGAAAAAGTGACGAAATAATATGCTGCAAGGCGTTAGATAGTTACAAATAATCATTACAGTCGAATAATATAATTCAAATATCTAAAGATATATTTGTTCCAGACTATCCTCCTGGCCCATCATGCATATGATTATTATTACATGGAAATAAAATAAGTTATTAAATATGTTCATATTATTACATAGAAATAAGATATTGAATCATTTGTACCGAAACTCATACGACAAACATTATATTAACCGCGTAAAATAAATATTAATGGTAGTATTATAAAAACAACGAATAGTCAGTCGCATATTGTAAAATATGAATTGATTGTTTAAAAATAAAACAATATCTGGATAAGAATCGAATACGTTAATATTGTATAAAAACAGAATATTTACATAATGATACACGTTCCGATATAATTTTTTTCTGTACTAACTACAAAAAGTTTTTTTTTATTTTACACGGTAGCTACTTATTTTATTAGAATGGACCACATTCACCATCAGTTTTTTATATACAACGATTCATGCATAAGCATAATATACATTTTTTTCTGTGCATCATACTATAGTATAGTTATTATAGTCTTATAAAAAGGGCATAGCCCTTCAAAACCTGAATAGAAAAATGAATATTATCATAAACAGTTTTTTTTGTACGGTAGCCACTCAATTCTTAGGATTTTTCATACGACATCAATTGTTTATGTATAATACTGCATATATCGGCATAATATATTTTTCTGTATATCATATTATAATTAAAACTGATTGTCATATTTAATCAGACGGTTTTATCATATTGAACATTATTATATAATGATGAATTAATCGAAATGGTTGAAATAAAATGTAATATTTTGACTCAATTAAAAAACGAAATGATTTCTCAAATGGTTATATAATAATTATTTAAAATTCCGAATCTATATTAATCGGGATATTTTAAAGAGTTTACCATCTCCTAGCCCGTGTATTTTCTTTGTATATAAAATATTCGGTGCATTCGAATTGCATGACAAAAAAATAAACATATACTGGAATGTCTAAATTGCATGCCACCTCGTAGAGGGATCTGTCCGAATTGTATGCCGTTTCTTATCTTAATATCGTTTCAGATTAATATAGTAATGCTTACAAAGTTGAAGTGCAAATATTTAAGTGATCGATACGTATGTCCGTGAAACAAACCACAATACACATAATAAGTACAGTTTGGTAAAATGTTTACTTGGATATAAAAAATATTTCAATCAATAAACTAATCAATTGTAACAACCATATCATAAAAAATTTAAGTCAAAATAAAGTTGTGCACATAAGTGCATGATAAATAAACTCGTGGATACACGGCATACCTCTCTAAGACATGGCATGCAATTCGGACATTTTTTTTTTTTTGGCATGCAATTCGGATACAGTCAAAATATTAGCTTGCATAGAATAATTACGAGAATTCTTGACCGCTATTATATTAATATATAGTATTTTGACTTACAATGCAGTATTTCGATACTGCATTGTGTATACGCGTACACGTGTATTACACAACTTTATATCGTCAGAGGGGGCTTTTTCCATCATCATTTTGATTAAATAATCACAGAGGAACAAACATCGACTTGACTGTTGCTTAGTTTACCACAAGAATTGTTCACGGATTGACATTTTTTTTTATTTCTGTCTCGTACATTTTTCGTGTTAAAATATGTTTACCTGCACTAATTGTACGAACGTTTTTATTCATTAGAATAGCTTAATAATTCATCAATGACATATGAAGATCCACGCTGATATAATGTTTTCGTGTGGACAATGTTCAAAAACGTATACGCGTCAAGACATCCTTACAAGATATATTAAAACGTTTCACGGTACGTACTTACATAATTTATAAATTTTTAAATATATTCCGTACAATGTTATTCGAACACATACAGAAAGGATATAAGTAGCTTCGCGATATTAGCTACGAATATACCTGCTACTCATTCATCAGAAATAATGGCAAGATGATGGTTATGATGAATTGCTTCATCACATGGTATGCGAATGTTCATTTCTGTGAAAATTCGGGTAAGATTATTTTTTAAAATATTAAGTGCCAAGTAGTATAATATGTTAGTTAGTCACAAAATTAATTTGTTCCGTAGGGGTCTCTAACAATTGTCATAACGAAAACAAGGAGAATAAAAAGCGAGTTAAAAGGACTCGATTAGATTTGAGGAGAAATGCTGTTGGTTTTATTAATGTAGGATCATCTATTAACAATCGTATAACGTGGTATTGTAAAAGGAATACAGCAAATATTCTTGATTATTTGGTTTTTCTCAACTCAGTAAAATCCAAACTGATACATATTTTAAAATCAACTGCACCACCTATCAAATTTTATCTTAAATTGGACGATGCTTTATAATAAACCAATTATTGAAAACTCGTCCGTGAATAGAGAATTTAAAACGTAGAGTGTCGCGTCATTCGGTCACGGTAAAATGAGCGTACGATGAATGAAAAAAACCATTAGCATACCGTTACAAGAGCAAGGTCATTTGGTTAGCTATTTGGTTAGTTATTTAATCGTGGTACATAAATAGTGTTAGCTATTTGAGCGCGATAACAATATTGTTCTGTACTGAAAACCTGTAGTTTCATAGTGTTGGTTTATCAGTTCGCTTCTGCCGTTTGGGATTTACCGTGCTGCTAAATATATTATTAAATTAATTTAATTAAATTGTATTAAATGAATGTTTTAAGTCAAAAAATTGAAGTGAAAATGTATTTGTATTATAATTAGAACACAAACATTTTATCCATCGATAAGAAAAGACCATAAGAAATTATTTGGAAATATTTAGTATAATTATGACTATAATAATATATGATAATCTTGACTAGATTGTAATAAAAATGTATTTTTACTTTTTACTTTGCGCTCTTATAATATGCGCTCTTTTTGCTTACGCGATTAAATTGCTATCGAGCAAATAACTTCACTCTTATGACACGCGCTCATTTCACGGCGATCAAATGACGTGGAACCAAAACCTCGACTAGGACGATTTTTAACGATAGTAATGTAGAGTACATTTTTAACGATATATTTGTTAAAGTTTTAACTGAGAAGGAAGACTATCAGGGCAAAGACAGTGTGGTCTATCTGGAGACAAATGATGGATTATTACTCGGTGTATACAAGTATACTCCAAGGTATATATACCTACGGGTGGTTCCTCATATATCGAACTACCAAAAGATATTATGGATAAAAAAGCAGTAATAAACCGTCATAACTCAGATAATCAATGCTTCAAGTGAGCTAAATTATCAAAACATGTAATTGGGGTAAACAAACAATGAATCGCTGAAAATGATTTTTTTCATTTTCAATTCATGAACATACGTATAATAATTTCACTGGAATATCATACCCAACTACCTCCAATAAAGATAAAATATTTGAAAAAAAAACAATGTATCGCTCAACATATACGGGTTAAAGAAAAAGAACGATACTCATCATGTTTTTCCACTGCGGGTAGTTGAGGAAAAAACAAAACACTGATTTTTCGTTATTAAAAGATAATAATAATTCACATTATACATTATTATTTTGTACTTTCATATCAAATTTTTCCCATCTTGTTCGAGCGCAAACGACTTTGCACGAAGACAATGTGATTTCTTCGTAAACGATGTTTTATCACCTTCGACAATTGACAAAAAAAATTTATTTGAAGAATATACGGGTATATGTGATGAACATAAACCCATATTAATAGTAACCTTACGGATTAATAGTAGAAAAATTAAACTAATATAATAATTTTTCTTTGGAATATATCTAACACTACTATAATTTACAGGTTCATAGATTATTTCAATTTAGACAATCACCATGGATGGTAAAATATATTCATTTAATCACTAAAATTCGAAAGAAAGCTGCAAACTATTTTGAAAAAGACTTTTATGAATTACTAAATAAAGCTGTGATATATTATTATTATTGTAATCTAGGAAAAACAATGGAGTTAACGAGAAAAATAATTAAAATGGAGTTGGTGTCGTCCGAGCCAAAGTTGCAAAAACTGACTAACCGTATTACATTAAAATACTGCACTTTTATGAAAATAAAAATTTAACACCAGTGATATTGAAGGACAAAATAATACATTTTTGCAAACCTACTTATATAGGTATATATCATATTATTATTATTATTCTTATTATTGGTAATTGTTTATAATTTAATTATGCTGAGACTTTGCTGTGCTCGATGTATCAAAAACACTCATGCACGACTATCATCGTAATATAATAAAGAGCCACTACAAAGAAACTATTAATTTAATTAATAAAGGTATATTATTTATACATTTTCAAAAAGTATAAATTATTGATTTATTTTTGTTATTTCAGGTTCATTCGTATATTACATTGAAACAGATAATTTTTATCATGATCTTAAAACCAATCCAAAGTTATTAAACTGTACGAATACTGCCAACCTACCACGTGACCACTCTTGTTTTGTTTCTGAAATAAATAAAATACCAGGGATGTTTCTTGATGAGATCGACGGACGAGTTATGCGTGAATTCATAGCATTAAGGGCTGTTGTATGCATGCATAATGGAAGGGGAACAAAAAATTAAGACGTAAGGTATCAGAAATCATATCTTTAAGAATCACATGAAGTTTACAGATCGTAAACATAAAATAACTACTATAAAAACCAAAAAACTAACATTCTACTGCCATGACGATAAAAGGTTCATCTTACATGATCAAGTTCATACACTAGTACACGGTCACTATAGGATATATTTTATTGTATGTAGGAGGATTTAACTTGTTATTAATTAATTAAATATGTCATTATCTTTTCCACCATTAACCACTAAATTATGTTTTTTGTTTCAGAGAAATCATAGTATATGATGATTATCTATAATAATAATATACAATCGTAATTATATTTTTTTAATTGCATAAATTTGTAGGTAATCCGATTAGTTCATATTTGTAAATATTTATTTTTTTAAATGTGATTCTCACTGCATATGTAATTAAAACTAAATCTGTTTTTATTAATATATGTTGTAAATAATATTTTTTATATATATCCCAATACGTTACAATTGTAAATATTATCAGTTATGTATGTTAAGAAGAAATAAATCACATACCATTTCTTTAATGCATGAACTTTATAATATGTACATTTGTATGGATTTATATCTATGTGAAAAATATAGCTAGGAAAATCTTTTTTGGTATATAATTGATTCAATCGAGGACATCCAAGTTCGTCCATGTTGATAACGGTAACGTGTAGAATAATGTTCTCGATCATTTTTTTGTTTTCGCTCATCCTTTATGTAAATGTATTTGAATCTCAACGAGTTTAAAATAATATCCAGTTCTTTGTATTCGACATCGCCGTATTCCATTGATAATCTGTGGTAATTTCTTTCGAGTCATTTGTTCGAATTTTCGAATCTTGTGTAATGAACGGGTGTTTGAAAATCCAATGTTGTGCTGCAAGTGTATCTGTACACAGTACAGACGTTTCTTTAATCATATATTTATTGTTGACTTCGAGAACGTATTGTATATCTAAATTTTCCGACGACATTGTTTTTTGAGTGTTTGGTTGAAACTATCTCGTTAGGATTATTTTTTCTCGACATCACTTTTATTTAGCCAACTTGATACCTATCACGTGTGTCATCAAAACCCAGCCACTTGACAAACATTCGACCACCCCTTCTACGTATTGTTTTTCATTATTTATTATTTTCTAAGCTAAATATTTATCAGGATGATTTGTTTTGCTTATCTCTTTGGAATAAAAACAACAGGCATTAGGTTTTCCCGAATAGTCTTCTTAAACATATGTTGGTGGAGATGATTTATTGATTTTAACAACGGTGAACACCTCCATTGACAATTAAGCAAATAACCTTTAGTAAACACCCCTTTTAGTGTACTTATTCGTATCTTTCCGCCCACATTACATTTATTTTTTCATTAATCATATGATTAATAAAAAAATAAATATATATTGCGTTTTTTTAATACAAACAGCGATGGATTTCTGCCCGCTTCAATATGAGAGTCATTTTAATTCAGTGTGTAGATTTATCGTTGTAATTTTTCATTAACATGGATAATATTAAAACCAAATTAGGTGTACCTTTGGCTGTAGTAATTTTTTTTTTTAAGTCCTATTAAATCGCTCTACAATACATGCCTTTGTGGTGCTATACGCAGAGTAATTTTTAATTTTGTATTTATTCATTAAGGCGTAAAATTTCTTGTTATAAAACTCTTTGCCATTGTCGAATTGAAGTAATTGAGGAGTAGGAATTATCAATATTTTCAATAACGCGTTAGAGACCTCAGTTCCAGTTTCCGATTTTAACAGCAATGCCCAAAGCGAATTTCGTACAACAGTCTATAACACAGAATATATTTAAAACCTTTATTTTGTCTTGAATAATTTCCATCTAATCAACTTACCACAAATCATTTTTACAGTAAACATTAATTACAAGTCTATTAAATTTTTTTCTCGCTGGGTAATGAATTTCGCGTGCAATATCTTCCTTAAAAGATATCTGGTTTTTTATTATTTTGGCTTTTTTTAGATATTCGGAAATCAATAGTATTTCATAAGAAACATTGATGTCTCCTGCTTTTTGAAAAGCTAAGAGTAAACGTAGTCTATCGACAAGGCTGTTTGGATCATTACATTGCACTATTTTTTTTTTTCACACCATTATAGCCCTCTTCAGAAGAAAATAATTTTTTTTATGATACATGTATACATAAATCCAATTTTTTAAATTGTTTTCCGACTTGTGTTAAATGTGCTGATGAATGAATTAATATTGATTAGATTAGAAACTCTTGCAAACAATAAACAAATTAACCCACATATTAACGGTTAGGAAAAATCTTCAATAATCATTGTATTTTCTATAAATTTAATTTCTTTATCGCCTAAACTAATACTATCATCCATCAACTTCTTCGGACCATAAACTTTATCTCTTTCATTTTAATTTAACCAGAGTTCAATGTTTTCTGTAGACTTGTTTTCGAATGAATAGTATTTGTTTGATGATTCAATTTATTCAATAGGTGACGATAGATAATACATTACACTCTCGTGTTATCTGTTTAAAAGTTCTCTGATCGGTTTAAATTTATTCGATACTAAAGACTGAACTTCAGCCTTTCCATTTCTCAACGTGATAAATTTATGTTTAATATTTCCCTTGGCTTTG